GTAAATCTTCTGATCAAAAAGAAAGCAGATGGGGGTATCTCTCCATGTTTACTTTCAATATCATCATCATTACTCATTTGTTTTTCACTTCAAATAAAGAGTTCTGTAACAAATTACAATGTCATTCAGCTAGGAAAATGCACTCCTTTGTTAATCTTATTTTTTTACCTGTTCTAAGATAAGTTGAACTGGCACAAACAGAATGTAGCCTAAATATGCCTTTGAACATAATACATTTGTATAACAGAATGGATACTATCTCTAGTCAAGCAGGCTATTTTTAAACCAATGTTAAGATGAAGGAAGACTTCTCAATTAAAAATCCTCAATGCACATTTGGCTTCTGTGACATTGTGACACTGCCAACTGCAAGTGCCATGATGTTTCAAATCAAACCTGTTTTTTGTTTTACTATTTTAATAAATTAGTAATTAAAGTTAGCATGGCCTACGTGTGGCAGTATATGTTAGCATATACTGTTCAAATACAGGTTCTTGAGCTATAAAATGCAAAATGCAGTTCTTTGCTATTATCCAAAAAAACACAACAACATGATATTTGGATACAATACTGGGGAAGGTTTTAGAATAATACAGTGATTACTTCATGTTTTATGGGTGGAACAATGCTTGCTTTCTATTAAAGCTCAGGTTGAAAGCGAGCAGGCAGCTATAGAGGCATTCACCATAGTACTACACACCCTTGGTTCCTGGTAGCAGCATGAGGTATAATAAATCACTGTGGAGTCTGTCTAACTCAGCATAAAGTAAGTGTGCTGGTACCACAGTGAGTTGGGATGTCACCTTGTACATATAAAAAGATCCTATGCAGCGAAAAGTCCATATGGTATCAGCATGAGCATTTAAAGGGCCCACATTACGCTATTACGCTATATCTTATAATGTTTCCTTATCAAAAACATATCTGGAGTTTTCTTTTGTTTCATTCACACACGTTTAACACACAGATCCTGCATATTTACGCTGTGTTCTTCTCTTAAAGAGGAAACACTCTGTTTCACCTTGTTGTGATGTCATGTGGTAATACAGGAAGTCCTTCACTGTGTTTTTAAACTCCATACACTTTCACTAGGATCACTTGGATAATTTCAGCCCTAAACTTGGCCAATCTCTAATGAGCAAAAGGTAAAAGATAGATGCTAACTTGAAAACTACTGTTTCGTGACATCACAAGGTGGAACAGAGCTTTTTGAGCTTTGGAGGATTACTCAAACATGTGTGAATGAAACAAAACACAACTCCAGCTATGTTTTTGATGAGGTAACACCATTATAACATAGTTTAATGATTACAAGTCAATTTTGTAGAATATAGGACCTTTAATAGGAGGGACAAACAAAGCAGCACCTTCATTTACCCAGCATGGTCCTCCCTGCTCCACTGTTGTTACTAAACACAAGCCTAGCCTTAAGACATGCATCCTCCCACCAACCCCCATCTCTTTATTCTCTGTACCCCAGTGTTCAACTGACCCACAGACCTACATATGGGAATCAAACATTCACTGCCAGAAGGAAGGGCCAGTAAAAGGTAAAAAAAAAAAAAAGGCTGTCAGTCTCTCTCCTTTGGCACACTCTAAGAAGGTGTGGCTTTGTTCATTGGAGCACATGGGGAATACCAGCTCTGACTGATGCTCAGTTACTCAAGGAAACAATAAAAAACAGCTGAACTTAAATAAATACTATTTTCTACTGATAATTTAACAACACATGACTGCAGTCTTAAGACTTGACCTGCATTAGAAGGATCCTGTAATTAAAGCTGTATAACAAGTGATATAAAAATATGAGGTTGACCAATATGGATTTTAAAGCTTTGTGTGTATTGTTCAGACAGCTGATAAACAAAAACAAAATATAGGCCTGTGCTGGAGATGTAAGACTAATAGCCAATATGCTAAAAATCAAAATATCTGCCCAATATATCAGTCTATCTGCAATAAAATTGTAAAAGAAAGAAAAAGCTTGTTCTATTAGTGGTAATTATACAGTCAGATACTATAACCCACAACATGCATTTAGCAACATTAAATATTTACTACATAAAAGCAAATATTCACCCTTAGCACGTACAGTTGTGCTTAGTCTTCAAAATAAGAACTTAAAAATGTAAGGTGACTAATGGTGGTCACGATGGTCACTTCTCAGCCTCAAATCCCAGAGTGGTTCATGGGTGTTTTAAGCCCCTACAGTGACACTCTAATGGGACACATGTGGCCCTTTAAAAAGCAGCAACCACAGCAAACCAGCACTGCCACGTTTATAAGGAACAAACTTTTCTTCTGCCTTCACTCCTTCCTCCAGTGCAGCAGACAGAAAAAGTTCATGTCTGTAACTGTCCGTCAATAATCCAACATTCTGTCTCCCTGAAAAAACAAACATGGACTCAAAGATCAATATCTGTGATTGGAGAATTAGAGAAACACAAAGTGACTATGTTCCACCCTAAAACAGATGAGCATAGATTTATCCATCTAACTTGTATTTTTGCAGCTAGCTGTGGAAAAAGGCACACCCATGACTTTCCAAAACATAGGAGACGCTGATTAAATTCAAAAACTTGCCCAATGATTTTCCTTGTTACTCACTTTTAGATACTTTCATGGCTTTTCATCTGTTCCTCCTTCTGACACTAACAGAATCTTGCCACTTGACTTGTATAACCCTTTCAATGATTCTACTCACACAGATTACCAAAGTGAGATACACAAATCTATTTTTAGCCAAAGATACCCATCCAAAAACATCTGAAATAAAAAAAATAGAGCAGGATCTCATCTCCAGTATTTTAACTGCTTGTTTTCAGTGACATAAACACAGTCTGGCTGCTAAAGTATAATGAACTCACTTCCTAAACTTCCTACTATACACAATAGGCAAAGACCGGACTCCTAACAACAAAGCCCTGAAAGTAGGAACAAATGCTGTAAGCCTTCTACACTGACTCTGACATATTCCAATACTAAGTCAAAGTTTACATAGAATCTGCCAATATGCACTGAGATACACGCTGAGAGAAAGGCTATGGCATGCACAGACTATAATAATAACAGAAGCAATAACAGTGGTAATAACAGTGGTAATAACAGTAATAGTAATAGTAATAGTAATAGTAATAGTAATAGTTCTATCTAGTTCATCTACTACTTATAATGCTGTTACCTCATCAAAAACATACCTGGAGTTGTGTTTTGTTTCATTCACTAATCCTTTATTATTGTCTGTCTACATCCCCAAGCTCAAAATGTTCTGTTCCACCTTGTGATGTCATGCAGTTGTAGTTTTCAAGTTAACAGCTACCTTTTACCTTTAGTTCAGTAAAGGGAATTCCAGGGCTGAAATAATCCATATTCATGTGAAGGTGTATGAAGTTTAAAAACACAGGAGCACTTCCTTTATTACCACCTGACATCACAAGGTAGAACAGAACGTTTTCAGTTTGAGAGAAGAACAACAAAACAAAACAACACAGATCAGACAGTAATGTAATATGGGACCTTTGATACAGCAATTAGCAATTAGCAGCAGTAGTAGTAGCTAAGAGGGTTAATGTTATTATTACAGTGCCTTCTATGATTAAGAAGTTATGGAAACAAATATGAACTAGAACTAAAATCAAACTTTCCATGATGTCTGTGGAGGGTAGGCCTACAGTACTACTGCAGTACTATGTGAATATTTCAACAATGGTGTGACACTGACACAGTTTTACTAAATGCACCGCCAGCTGCTCACTAGAGTATACAAGCTGCAAAAAGGCAAAGGGAGAGGGAGAAAAAGGAGAAGTAACAAACCAAACTACAGTCCCAAATAATGCTATCCACATTCAAAACAAAACCAAAAGATTCTTGTCCGTACAGCTGCAAGAGGAGGATAAACACTTAGCTTCATGTAGCTGTCCAAGAAGAGTCCATTATATGACCTGTCATTTGTGTTATAAACCAGACATGCACTGCACCTTCACCACTGACAGTTAAAGGCTGTTACACACATGGGATCCAAATTCAATATCCAAATAGGTCACCAACTGCTCAGTGAATAGCAGGCACTGTTTCCAATGCTTTTAACAGCTATGTAACTTGTTATGTCCAATCAGGTGATCACTAGTACATTCTAATTAACCATGAAAGTAGACAAAGATAGGCATAAAGGGAGGTTCCATAAAACATCTAATTATTAGGTTTATACACAATAAAGCAATAGACTGTCTACATAGATGACTTCCTTTAGACACCATGGTTTGATGATGACAGCTAAAATCAAAGTGAACACACAAAGAGACTGGCTACATAGGCTACAGGCCAGCTACATCTGCCCCATGAAAACAAAGCCTCCCCACACAGATGGAGAGGAGGGGTCCAGGATGGGACGCACGCTGCAAACACCAAATCACTACAAGGCTGTGAAAAATAAAATGCAATGTATATCTAATCGGTTTTGGTCCTTGAAAAAGAATAAACAGCATGGGAGTAGAAATGTAGCTAGGGTTGGAACTAAACACAAAGCGTTCCCTGTGAGCGCCCTTCATTGATGTGCATCCTGTCTCGTCCTGCGCGCTGTGGCCCATATGGATGATAGGAAAAGCAGGTCAGACGCGGATAAAAGCGGCAGTAATAGACCAGTCGTGCAAGGTATTACAGTGTTATTGATGCTGCCTCGATTCACAAACACAGAGGTGGCACAGTGGTCATGCTGCTGCGGAGTCTGACAATAGTAACTACATAGAGCCTACATGAGCCCGGCCCCGGCGTGTTTGGCCGACAAAAACACTGACCCTGTTTGTATTATATCCTGCACTAAATGTTCAAAGGACGACCAAATAGCTAATCTTATGAAACAGAAAGACTACACAAACTGAGAGAAGCAAATGCAAAGCAAATAGAGGGAAAGAATAATAGATATATTGTAATCGACCAGGTTTTCAGCATCGAACCGGGAATACGGTATGGAGCGGGTTAGCAAAAAGGCGCACATTTCTTACCCTCTTGGTGTGCTGTAGCTGCTGCGTGAGCCCTGAGCCCAGCCCTGTGTTGGTGCAGTTCAGTGCGACGGCCTTCCCGTTGCTCAGCAATAAACGCTTCTCCCTCAAAACAGCGGAGCGGACGGAGCGGACCGTGAGCCCGAGAGCGCAGCGTCAAGGCATCGGACATGCGCACGATGCGCACTCACCAGGGGACGACTTCCGCTGCCTTTCAGCATAACAGTGCTTTTGGCTTGGTTTCCAAGTCTTCTTTGCTTTCTGCGTGAGCTAATATATCAATGTGCTGGTCTTTTTGTGCCGTTTTGAGTAGAAAGAGGTCTAACAAATTGACTTGCTAGGAGTTAGAGATATGAATGCGCGTTTATCTTTAACTGATGTGAGCGCAGAAAACCAGCATACAGCCATGTGTGAGACGACGTTTTTCCGATGAGTTTCACTGAATTCCACTTTACGTCTCTTCTCTTGCAGCGCCTGCGTCTACATTTCCAGCATGCCTCCAACTTCCAACTCGACCAAGCTCTAACAGAGGGCTGGATTTCCTGAACCCACCCACGTCAAGGGTCTTGTGACCACCAAGTCTTGTATTTTAATTAGTCAGCAAACCAAAACACCGTTCAAGTACAAGATAATATAACAAATTATAAATAGTCAGAACGTTATACCACCGTCATGACCATGCTTAAATAAAATAGAGATTTATTATTTTTCCATATCGTGCCCGTACGTCTAATACTCAAAAATTGCAACTAATAGTGTTAGAAGAACGAGATCGACTCCAATGTGAATTTTGAGCATTGTATTTCGTGTTGTACCGTGGATCCATAGTTGAACTGTGACAAAAACGCTCCGCTTGCCCAACCCACTTAAAGGGAGCGCCTGATTTATTCTTCTGGGCACGCCAGTCTTGTGTGCTTGCGTAATCTTCACACTTGTTTCAGGACACTTTATAAGAAAACACATTTGTTTAAATTTGTCATTCAAAGACACAGACATCCTATGATATACCAAGCAGTTTAATGTGCACACAGCAAGTTAATGCAAAGTGCAGTTTTGGCCCCACCTCACCCCGCCTTTTTCAGAGGAGCCGCTGGATATAGAGGCGCTCCCGTCCGTTAAGATTTGAAGTAGGAGCGTGTGGATCCGGGACGATTATGGACGAGCAGCGGGATGTTCAAACTTCCAAAGGGAATATGTCTAAAATATGTGCAGGATCCGCAGTGGACATGGAAATAAAGAGGCAACGAATACGACAGAGTGCTTTATTCATGCAGGGAGAGGTAGGAAATGTGCTTTTTGAGTTGAATCTTAAGCTTTGGGCGACGCATTTCCCTAATTCTCCTGATTCAATGCTTGACAGGTGTTTTAGCTAAAGGAGTGACTGAAAAGAAAAAAAAAAAACATGGAATTATGAAAACGTAATCATATTTTTGCCAGCCGTCTTTAAACCCCTCTACATGGACGTAGTGGACAGGCCAGTGAATTAAAAGGTGCACTGTGGAACTTTTCTGGTGGAAGATAAGTCTACTTGTCTCTGTAGGGATGTTTTTGCTTTGCCTGGAATGTACTGCAGTATGGCATTAAACATATCTATATCCATGGTAACAGGCAGGGAACTCCAGGTTGCAGATAATCCCACTCAGAGTAACATCTATAGCTGAATAAATACAAAATATGTTTAATGCCTTACGGTGGAATATTCTTGGCAAAGTAATATCTCCATGGAGACACCAGACCTCCCCCAGAAAAGCTACACTGTGCATGTTAAATAATGGTGTGGTGAAACAGAAACTGGTTGTGTTAAGCTCTTATCATGAAGAAATGTATCTTGACTCACTCTTCCACTCACAACATAATTGTTTATGGGTACAACTGCATTAATGATTTGCTAACTATGTTTTACAGAAATTTCCTCTATTCTGAAACTGTGAAATTATGTCTTTTTAAAATGTATTTAGGCCAAAAACCCGAAAAGCTTCCCAGGTCTGCAGAATGACAAGCTGGAAATGGTGGAGTGTGTGAATCAGTTGCACAGACAACAGCTTTTTAAGAAGCTGCAGGTGGATTTCTTTAGAGTCTGTTAAAGATCGTGATGTTCTGTAGAGACTAGATTGTGTGTGTTTATTAGAAATAAGATGCATTTTCTAGCTGAACTCTAGATGCTGTTCGTTTGGCTCCATTCGTTTTAATACCATTATGTCTAACCAAGTGGTTCACAAACAAAAGTTGCTCCTCTGTAAATACTAATCGTGTTGTCTTACATAACATTGTTGAAATTGTACTGTATGTTATTTCAATGTAAATTCAGTTAAATTTTTTATTCATCCAACTAATTGGGCGTATTAACTGAAAAGTCTGAAAATTGTAACAAGAGAGGAGAGATTTTTTACTGCTGTATCATTCATCAGTCTTCATTTATT